AAGATGGTGAGGGGTCTGGAGACCAAGTCCTATGAGGAAAGGTTGAAGGAGCTGGGTATGTTTAGCCTGGAGAGGAGACGACTAAAAGGTGATATGATAACCATCTTCAAGTATTTGAAGGGCTGCCATATAGAGGATGGTATGGAGTTGTTTTCTGTTGCCCCTGAAGGTCAGACCAGAACCAATGGATTTAAATTAAATCAGATGAGTTTTCAGTTAAACATTAGGAAGTAGTTCCTGACAGGGCGGTTCCTCAGTGGAACAGGCTTCCTCGGGAGGTGGTGGGTGCCCCTTCTTTGGAGGTTTTCAAACAGAGGCTAGATGGACTAAAGGACTAAAGGACTAAAATGGTACCACATCCCCATGGCAGACTCAGGGATGTAGTATCCTTTAATTCGTCCCTCAGTAAACTTTGTGAGAGTTGAACGTGCACCAACCAGTCAAGCCACCTAATCACTATACAACACTATTTTACCAAGCAATCTGTCAAGATAAACAAAAAAGGGGAGGGGGGAAATCCAAGGCACATGACCCAACATTCTTGCTAACTGAGTGCCGTGATGTTCACCAACACATAATTAAGTGGCTCAATTGAAGGGGGGGGGCATACCAGTCTTTTCAAAAGCGCAGTTTTAAGGGCCTTTCCGAAAGATTAGCACGTAACATGAATCTGCCTCATAATGAGTTACAAAATTATTCAGGATGGTGAAAACCAAGGATAACTGTGAAGAGCTCCAGGAGGATCTGCACAAATTGGGCACAACAATATGGCAAATGAAGTTAAGTATTGGTAATTGTAAGGTGATGTGCATTGTAATATAAAATCCCATCTTCAAATATAGGCTAATGGGGTCTGAATTTGCTAAGAATGAGAGGAGAAAAGGTCTTGGGGTTATAGTAGATAGCTCAATGAAAATATCACTCCAGGGTGCTACAGAAGTGAAAAAGGCAACCTCTATGTTAGGGATTATTAGGAAAGGGATTGAAAATAAAACAGCTGATATTATAATGCCTCCGTATAGATCAATGGTGCAGCCTCATATGAAATACTGTGTGTAGTTCTGGTCATCATATCTAAGAAAGGATACTGCAGAGCTGGAAACAAATAGTCATCATATCTCAGAAAGGATACTGCAGAGCTGGAAACAAATAAGGCAACAAAGATGAATAGGGGGTTTGAGGAAAGGCTGAAGAGTCTGGGACTTTTCAGTTTAAAAAAGATATGACTAAGGGGGAACATGCTAGAGGTTTATAAAATTATGCATGGGGTAAAGACAGCTGACAAAGAACTTTTTCTCCCTCTCCCAAAATACTAGAACTTGTGGGCATCTAATGAAGCTGATGGGCAGTAGATTCGGGATGTACAAAAGGAAACACCTTTTAACACAGCGAGTGATTAAAATGTGAAATTTGCTGCCAGAAGATGTAGTGATGGCCGCAGGCATAGACAGCTTTAAAAGGAGACTAGACAGATTCATGGAAGATAGGTCTATCAGTGGCTACACTAACCATGGTGATTACAAGGAATTTCCACATTCAGAGGCAGTCAACCTCTAGATCCCAGTGCCAGGAGGCAACATCCACAGAAGGCCTTGGCTTCTATGCCCTGTTGTTGGACCTCCAGAAGAAGTCATTGGCCACTGTGTGAAACAGGATGCTGGAGTAAATGATCTAGCAGAGTTCTTATGTTCTTATGAGTCAGACTGTTGGTCTATCCAGGTCAGTATCTTCAACTCTGACTGGTAGTTGTTCTGCAGGAATTCCCTAAGAGTATTTTCTTATCACTTACTACCTAATCCTTTAAACTCAAGATTGAACCTATTGAACCTGGGACCTTCTGCATGTTCCCAGAGTTTAAATATGCAAGGGAAGTGGGGCACTGACTGTTCAGAGAAAAATAAGTAGGTTTATAAAAGAAGAACAAACTTTGATAGACCTACTTCTTTTTCTTTAAACATTCAGTGCTCTGTTTCCTTTGCATATTTAAACTCTGCCAACATGGTTATGGGCCCAGCATGCTTCTGCTGCAAAAAAGAAAAGTTGAGACAAATTGGTCAGCAAAAAAAGATACTGCAAAATGGCTGCTTCCAGCACAGTTCAGCACCGCTACCTACTAGATAGGCTGACAGACAGCAATTATCTTGTTTGGAAAGAGAGAATGAAGAGCCATTTACTCGAGATGGGACTCTGGCACATTATTACAAATTCCCGGCCAGGAGTCTGTAATAATTGAAACAGTGATCCCTAGTGCAAACAAGTACATCTTAATTTTATTAATGATTGTACATGATAAGTTGGCATGAGCATCGTACATGATAAGTTGGCATCATCAATACATGGAGCACGTGGTTTGTGTATGCTAATATATTGGAAGTCATGCATGTAATGGTCAAGACTTGTTGTCCGATTGAAAGGTGTAACTGTTAGCAAAGAGCTGTGGAAGAAGTTATCTGGTAAGATATGAGTAGGTCACATTAGAATGTTGCAATTTTAATAGATTAATGGTACAAGATTATGGATGTAGTGTGATTGTTTTGTTCACGGAGTTCGGGAGCACCCTTGTGGTTGACTTTGTTGTGCGGGAGCGCGGAGTTGTATGTGTTCCTCTTTGTTGTTGGAGTTGATGTGAGTTTGGTCAGCGGGTTCCCTGCTGTGAGTTGTATTTGTTTCTTGATGGGAGACCTGTTTGATGGGGAGACTTCGAGGTGGGCGGTGGCTCGGGGGGTTCGTCTGAAAGGTGTAACTGTTAGCAAAGACTGTGGAAGAAGTTATCTGAATTCAAGAACACCCTTGTGGTTGACTTTATTGTACAAGAACGCAGAATTGAGACCTGTTTGATAAAGAAACTTCGAAACGAACGGTAACTCGGGAGGTTCGTCTGTTCATCTTGACGTCATCATCTTCTGTTTGGTGGCGCCCTGTTGTTGAAAAACAAAGATTAAAACACCATGAAGCTCATCAGTACTATTGTTTAATTATTGTCTATTATTCTTAATTGTATGCACTTTGCAGCAATCCATTGTGTTTAGGTACCCACAAAAGGCGCCAAAGCATGCCATAAGAACTATGGTATGGACAAAAACCTAGCAGGAAGCATCTAAATGCCTACATACCCAAAGAGAAGCAGTCCAAGTGGGATCTAAGGTCTGACCAACGTATCTTTGTTGGATACACCTTAGGATGTAAGGGATATAGAATTCTTGAGACAAAAACACACTGAAAAATTTGCAGTGTGGTCTTCAAAGACGAAAAAGAACAATTCAAAACAGCAGAAGATGTAGACATCATTGAATCTACACTGATGGAACAAAATAAAGTACACGAGACAGAAGAAGTGCTTCTACTAAGCACTATGGATTGTGGAGATGATACACCAGGAGACCTTCAGGAACCAGAAGGGGATGTAGAATAACAGATCAGATGATCAACTAGAACCAACAAAGGTGTACCTCCAAGGAGACTCTCCTACATGACCAAAACAAAGACTGAGACTGAACCCTCTACATGGGAAGACATAAACAAAATGCACAATACCCAAGCAGAAAAATGGAGGAAGAAAGCAAAGGGAGCGATGGGAAATCTTCAATCAAGGATCAAAAAGGGATATTTGCAGAATCTCCTCCGGAAAGGAAGATGAAACACAAGTGGATTTTCTAAAAGATGGAACTAAAATATTGTTCCATGGAGAACATGATTGCAGATGTCCTTACCAAACCACTTTCTCATGATAAATTTGAGTTTCTACAAATAATTAATCTTGTGGGCTAGCACAATAGACCTTGAGAAGGGGTGTCGGAATATGCAAGGACTATCATGCAGCCTTTTGAAGAAGATCTGAAGATCACCCTACAGGGGGACAGCTGAAGGACTGGTATTTAGCATAGCTAGTTTAGGGACTGTACACAATTTCAAATTATGTCCTTGCTGTCTCCTGAATGGCTCTTCTGGAGGCTTCCTGCTCCTGCAGAGCTTACTTCTTGTTGTTGTTCCTCCTCAGCAGTTAGGTTAGTCAGTTCAGGCTCTCTCTTTTCTATGTTCTATAACAGTTTGTTCTTCTTTAATAAAGCTACTTATTTAGCTCTAAACAGTCAGTATTCCACTTCCTTTTTTTAAAAAACATTTTTATTAGGATATATTTCATCACAATCACATTCAATCTTACATGTAAATCTTTTCTATATCCTACCCCCTCCCTTTTCCCCTAGAACAGCTTCCCGCAGTGCTCCGACCTCCTGCACATTACCTAAAATTTATTTTCTCCTAACGTCAACGCAAATTTAACAGGTAACAATTTTTATCATATATAATTAAACCTTATCATTACTTCAAATCTTAAGTTCAATAGTTATCAAAGCAAAACACAGTATCTTTTGCATCCCAGTTTTTTTCCAAATATTCTTTTAAGTCTTTCCAGTCTTCAAAGAAGTCTTCTGCTTCCATGTCATTCAACTTTCTGGTCATCTTATCCATTTCTACCATAAAGAGTAGTTTTCTAATCGAGTCTCTTACTTCTGGGACTTCCTCCTGTTTCCAACATTGAGCATATGTCATTCTGGCAGCGGTAATCATATACCACATCAGAGTTCTTTTTGCCACATTGACCTCTTCAGTATTCCACTTCCTTGCATATTTAAACTCTGTCAACACTGCTTACAACAAACAACACACCAGCCCCTACACTGCATAAAGCAGATACTCTACCACTGACCCATGGTTCCACTGTCATATAAGACAGTGTACTAATTATGCAAGTGTTAGATTTCATGGAAAATCCAGATGTCATAGCCCACTAGTTGTCAAAGGTTAAATGCAATTTCTCTTCAACCAGTGTAGTTAGTGTAATATTTATTTCTCATGAGGACTTTTACCTCCCCTGCCTTGCAACAATGCTATTTATTCTAGTGCTATTATCTGAACAAAATTCTGGGGAAAAATGGGTATATATCAAGAGTACATTATATTGCTTACATTTGGCATGGAGGTATTTTGTGCTGATTTACCTGCTTCTGTAGGTTTATTTGCTATTTTGCTGCCTCTTCAGCATCAGGCTTGGTAACCACCATGGAGGTGAGGGGGGTAACAAAGCTGAACTTCAAGGAGAATCCCAAAGCTTGGTCTTTCAGGCTTTTCTGCTGCTCCCCCTCAGCTGAAACACTAAAGTAGGGAAGGGAAAAATCAGCACTGTTTACTTCTACAGCGGTTCATTCAGAGAAACAAAATGCGCTGAATGTTTTGCTTCATGATTCCAGATTCCATGACTTGTGTTTCTACTTCCCTTCATGGAAACAAATTGTAAAGCAAAATGAAAACCAAGGTGGTATCTGCTTGAAAGAGCATATTAAGGAAGTCAATACATCAAAAACTTCAGGGAGGACTGTATGATTTTTTTTTTCCATTATTTGAGCAACCTTTCTTCTGAACCTGTCAATCTGTCTTCTGAAACTACACAAATGAAATGAGCTTAGTTTAAAAGGAAAGTTAACCAGTAAGCTTTTAAGAAGCATACAGTATTGTTCAGTCTGCTTCAGGGTTATATAACATATCAATTTTTAGCTCTAAAAAGTATAAGGTGCTCAGAAAAAAATATTGTGTGTGGGTTCATAAATGATATTGTCATAAGTAACTAGGGAGATAACAGAGTTTCCAAATGGCAGATGACACCTAGCCTACTGGCAGCATCCAAACCCCCCACTTGGTTTTTTCAGTTTTTCTAACTATTGACAGTTGAGTATTGTTATATACAGGGGTCATTTCGTAGAACCCCCCCCCCCCCTGGGTTTTTCCAATTTTTCTAACTATTGGCAGTTGAGTACTGTTATACTGATGTAATATGATAACTATATGTGTAATAGGTTTTCTGAATTCTCAGCTTTCATTTTTTTAAAAAAAGTATCTAGCCCCATGTGTTGCGGAGATATGCCATACAAAAAGTGCTAGAGACTTACTTTTAAAATAATTAACATGGAAATTCAGAGAACCTGTTATACATATCTGTATAACTTTATATTGATATAACAATATTCAGTTGCCAATTTAAAAAACAAAACAAAACAAAAAAGCTGGTGGGTAGGGGGGAAAATGACTTTAGGGGAAATGGCTGCTGTGTGGATGGGGTGGGATAATCTGGGAAATTTCAGGGGATAGCTAGGGAAAAACATCTGGTTTGCACGGGACATGGATGGGCGCCAGATGCCACGGGATACTAGCACTCCCGCGATCAGACGCCCACCTCCGCCCCACATTTTCCAGATACTAGTGCACTTTCCGTGGTACTTTTTTACTGTGCATCTTCAGTGGGATGCCATGGGTTGGCCACGGGTGCGCTACACATCCCAGATGTTGTGGTGTGATCACACCCTGAAAATCCGCCTGACATTCGTGCACCTGGGGCAAATAACCTGTGTGAAAAAGGCCTAGATCAGCAGGGGGGTATGTGTATTTACATACAACGGGCAATGCATGCTCAGTTTGTGCATGTCTGTATGAAATCCTTCATGTGAAGCAATCCTCAGTAATTTCTAAGAAGTTGGCTACAGAAGCCAGAGACTGCATGTGGACCTGGGCATGGAAGGCATGTGATGCATCAACCTTGCTGAACCTTCACAAGTCTGGGTCTGGATGGGGGACCTCTGAGGAATCCTCTGTGTTTATCACCTTGAGTTCCATGATGTGAGAACAATAAATAAAAACCTACTGCAAACAATGCTTGAGGTTATCTTCTGAGAGACAAACAAGAGGAAGAAGGAGAAGAGGGGGAGGAGTTGGATTTATACCCCACCCTTCACTTAGTCAAAGCGGCTTACAATCTCCTTCCCTTCCTCTCCACACAAGAGACACCCTGTGGGGTAGGTGGGGCTGAGAGAGCTCTGAGAGAACTGCTCTTGAGAGAACAGCTCTGAGAGAACTATGACTGACCCAAGGTCACCCACATGGAAGAGTGGGAAATCAAACCCGGTTCTCCAGATTAGAGTCCACCACTCTTAACTACTACAACAAACTGGCTCTGGTACTATGCTAGTATTGTGAAACTCATTATTATTATAAATCCTGATCATCACAGGAGCATAAATAAAAGGGGGGAGATTAACTGAGGTAATTATTATGACATTGTGACAGTCATTATTCAGTGATGGTTATGTAAGGACCAAGCAGAGGGTGATGTGAAAGACCTCAGCCTGAGACCCTGGAGAGCTGCTGCCAGTCTGAGGACACAATACTGACCATGATGGGCCAAGAGCCTGATACAGTATAAGGCAGCTTCATGTGACCTGATATTGTCAAATGACATATAATCTATGTAATCTCCTCAAAACTTATTTTGAAGAGACCTTTATTTTAAATCTTTTTTTTCATAGCAATACTTTCTAACTTGCATTGGAAACAGTTTCTGAACCAGCCTATAGAAGGTCAGCATAACACCAGTATTTTACATTAACATCTCCATCTTCTGCTACACAACACATCATACAGCCCTGCACTATAGTTAGAATGAAGCAACTATGATTGATGTTTATTAAGGCAAAACTAATGAAGCATGGAAAGCAGATTTTCTTCATTTTGAAGCTAAGACATCAGAGTGAAGACTAATTATTCCACATGCAAGGAACTTGTGGTGTGGGGATTCTTGAAACATTTAGAAAGGACACTGTTACATCTGAGGATTGTACTATGTTCCTTCTGCATGTTTGGGATCACCTGTCTCTCTTTATTATATTGAATGAAGTCTTTATTGCATTTTATTATTAGGTTACATTTTAGCAAATTCTTCATTGTATTAGCTTACGATTTTTCTAGCAGTTGCTGAATAGTTAAGTAGCCCCATAATCGCTCGATGAAGTTTCCAAAAATGTACTTCTGATTCCGAAATATTTCTTCTTTTTCTGTTACATTTACTTGCTCTTTAAGAGTCAAGTTGTTCATTTGCTAGGAAGGGGGAAAGGTTTCAGTTATTTGAAATTTGAATAAAAGAAGTGTATATTCTTTCACATATTTTTATACACAAACAAATCTTAAAGGAAACGACACTTTCAAATGACTTGCCATATGCCATACTCATTTATTTTCTGGATTCGCAACAGAACCAACCACAAAAGACTTATCATACACTCCAGTGAAAAGTGGAGTCCAGCAAACCGTCAATATTTATCTTATAATTTTTTCAGATGATAATAGGCAAGCAAGTGCAGGGATGAAGTAACCAGAGTACTGATTCAACTAAACTAGACCTCACCTATGCAATGAAAGAGGCAACAACAGGTTTTTACACAGATGCCAATAGAAATTCCATTTCAAATCAAGCATTAAGGCAATAAAGCAGCTGTAAAAAATGTAATCCAGGCAGTTATCCTGAGCCACACTTGTGGTCCTTAACCACGAAATCTTTCAGGTCTAAAACATTCTTATACTCCTAACTAGACAGCCCCATGCAAGCTGTTTCCAGCGTGGCCTCTGACAGGGGCTGTAACGATTCCTTGTTTTCTCTCTGTGTGTGTGTGTCTTTAAAAGTTTGGTTGCATGGCTGTGATAGATAGAGTGGTTGAGAGAGGCAAGTATGGTACGATTGGTGGTTGACAGAGAGGGGGAGGGGTTTTGGAAGTGAATCTGAGTGGATGAGTATGTGAGTCAGTCAAGAATTGAAGCCAGAATGCCAGCAGGGGGTTGGGGGCTATCCAGTGTTTTGCACAGAGTGTCACATGTATGACTATCTGCCCACTGGACAGAAGTCTTGGGTGTGTGCTCGGTGCAAGGAGCTCCTGGTTCTCAGGGAGCATGTGTGCTCCCTTGAGGCCAAGGTGGCTGACCTGGAGAAGCAGAGACAGTCAGTTAGGCACACAGAAAAGACTCTCGGGGACTTGTTAGATACGTCCCACTCTGGATCTGGCAGCCCTGCTGCTGTCAGGGAGCATGAGGGTCTAGGGGAAACAGGGCACTGTGCTGAGGATAAGGGGAATGTGCGCTCAGAAGGGACCTCTTCCCCAGCTGGTGAGCGGTTATCCTTTTGCACCAAGGAACCATACCTGGGCAGGGTGGGAGGGGGTCTCTTGTTAGTTGGTGATTCGATCCTTAGGCAGGTAGACAGCTGGGTGGCGAACCCGCGTACTGACCGTATGGTGACTTGCCTGCCTGGTGCGAAGGTAGCGGACATTACGCGTGTTTTAGATAGGCTGGTAGATAGTGCTGGGGAGGAGCCAGTGGTCGTGGTGCATGTCGGCACCAACGATGTGGGGAAATGCAGTCGTGAGGTCCTGGAGGAGAAATTTAGGCTGCTGGGCAGGAAACTTAGGTCCAGGACCTCCAAGGCAGCCTTCTCAGAAGTGCTACCTGTTCCATGCGCAGGGCCGGAGAGACAGGCACAGATCAGGAGTCTCAATGCGTGGATGAGACGATGGTGTAGGGGGGAAGGGTTCAGGTTTGTTAGGCACTGGGATGCTTTTTGGAACAAGAGGGAGCTGTACAGGCGAGACGGTCTCCACTTGTCCCGAGAAGGAACCAGGCTGCTGGCGCTTAAAATCAAAAAGGTGGCAGAGCAGTTTTTAAACTGAATATTGGGGGAAAGCCGACATTATCTGGTTCCCACAAACATCACTGTTTCACTCCAATTTATTATAACACTCAGACTTTCCTTTAACTTTTCTCCACTTAAACTTTACTGTACTTTTGGTATACACTCAGCATTCAGCTTTCTTTAATATGTTCTCTCTGGACAACCTCAGCTGTCCCTATCTGCTCCTCACACACCAAAACTCAGAACTAACTAACTGTCTTTATCAACTGTCAACTTCCAACTGAAATTCTTAAGAACATAAGAGATGGCAATTTGACCCGGCACTATGGGATCAGACACGATGGCAGTGAATGGGGTTCTTTTCGGCGGCGCGTGTTTCCGGCACGCTTCAACGAGGCAAGAGGAGCACACTGGAGCGAGCAGATGGAGACAGTGCATCTGCGGCCCGTCGCAAACCAGTTGATAGTGGACTTTCACTGGTACTTTTTAACTCTGGATCTTCAGCCAGACAATACGGGCTGGCAATGGGTGCACGACGCTTGCCAGATGTGTCAGTTTGATCATGCCCTTCAAATCCGCCCAGCATTCGTGAGTATCCCATGGCAAATTCTGCATGTGACCGGACCCAAAATCTTCTATACACCACTATAACACCTCGTGTGTTTGAAACAGACTTTGTAACAAAGTTCACATGCTAGTGGAGTGTCATTAGCACACAAGATTTTATTAGTACATATTTATATATTTTCTTCAAAACTCCTAAGAATTTTAAAAAATCTTCAAAGGAGAAGTCCAATTTGTTATTTTAAAAACCTAATCTGAATCAGATCATTGTTCTGATGCTACCCTGGCCTTTTTAAAGGAACTTCCCAGGACAAATTGACCAAGCCTGTAAACTTTCCTATAAAAGTTAAATAATAGTTGTTCAACAATTGGCAGCACTTCATGCAAAAGAAGCTATATTTCTTAAATACTTACTGTTTGAGCTTTAATTTCTACAAGGAAAACATCAAGTTCATTGTCGATCTTTCCAGCTACTACAATCTCGGAGACATCAAAGAGCAATTTGAAATTCTTCTGAGTGATGTCTTGTACCCCGTTGTCAAGATAGTTAATTTCAATCCCCTTCATGATGGGAGTAGCTACCTCATGATAAAAGTTCTTCAATCAAACAGAGGAGGTTACTGTGGCATTAAATCTAATTTACCAGCCATGCTAAACAACTATGAGTAGACTTTAATATATCCCATAGAGTTTACCCTGAGACATGAATTGCTACACATATGGCCTTACCTGGAGCTGTAGGGATGCATCTGCATCCTCATATATACACTGAGCAATTCCTCCATTGTCTAATGCCATCTTTTCCAGGAATCTGTAGTCGACATCAGTGCCAAAGCCAAGACAGTAGAGGAAGTACTTCTCATTATTACTCTGCTTTATGTTTTCTTGAATTTTACAGACATCTGTAACACCTATCCAATAGAAAAGGCAAACATACTCATGTTGTTGTGTACGTTGACTACTGGATTTAATTTGCTGGATTTTTGAGTGAATAAGGAGAAGATCACAGATAATACAAATATTAATGAGAGCACAAACACTCGCTGAAAAATTAAATGTGTTACATTTTGATTTTTACAAATCTTGATGATTTGTTTGTTTATTCATAGCCGTTTGAACTGAGACTCAAAGTGAATAACACAGTGAAATCAATATGATCAACAGGATGGGACATCCAATAAACAATGCAATAGGGTTTAGATTGCAGAAATCTGAAAACAGGCAGAAATCTGAAACAGAGCCGGAACAAAGCATAAGCATTTAAACATGACAAATTAAGCGATGAAGAAATTACACAGGAGGTTAATTGAAAAATGTATAAATAATCATGATTTAAAAAAGAAAGAAATTACAGAGGAGGAACATACTTACCGCAACAGACAGTATGTACAATAGACATTTGTAAAGTCCACTGTCCCTATCCCTTTACTAAAGCATTTTTCTGAACCATTTCAAAGGGTTAGCCATAACATGGGACCAGGGGTGAGGCTGGAACCAAGACTTTCTCAGAGATACAGCCTTTTATAATCTGAAATCTTGTGAGTGGAGTTTTGCCAAATTTGGTGGGTTGGGCACACCAGAGCAGAATCTGAAGTGGTGTGTGACAGAATGCACTTTTTAAAAGCTTAGAAGTGCTATACAAACAGCTGAATGACTGCATAGATCAGTTTGCTCTGGAGCCCTCCTTCCTAAGCTAAGACAAAAATGTGTGAGCTGGAGGCTAAAAAACTGTAAGCTAGCTCACACTGACTCAGCTTAGAGGGAACACTGGTTCTAAAGATGTCCCATTACCTCAGGCTCCCTGCAACCAGCGGGCAAGGCCTCATGGCCAAGATGGCTCCTGGCCTGCAAAACAGAGCTCAGCAGCCTTTCCTCTTCCAAGGACCACCACCAAGAGACCCTTCCCCTTGAGAGCAAGCACTTTTATTAAACCTGTGACTCCACCCATTGTACATCAGTCTCTCCACCCCTTTTGACCTAGTCTGCCCAAGACACACTGGTGAACCCTGGGACACCCAGGTGCATCCTGGAGCATGCAGGAGCATCCTGGGAATCCCCCTGGAAGGCATTCTGGGAAATCTCCAGGAGTCACCTGGAGATTCCTAACACCAAATACCTCAGTAACCTTGCAGGCTGAGTCATTTGCATACCTATGGCTGGTCATTGACCTAGCTTCCTGCCCTTCCAGAGAGAAGAGGAAAAAACCCCAGGAACACTTTAAAAACTCAGGGGAGGGGGTTCCACACAAGTCTTTACATTTTCCAATTCCTTTGAGGAAGGTGTATGCCAATGTTTACACAGGTCTAAAACAACCCCTGTCACCTGTCAGGGTGTGCATTTGTGGAGATGCCTTCATGTGCTAGCCTCAGCAGTTGGGTGACAATCTCCCAAGCATTTTTATTTGTAAATGGCAGCCGTAAGTGGACTCATTTTCAGCTGAGACTGAGGAGTGGGAGGGGGGATTTTAAACCACTTCCTTCTGTGTCATCTTCCTGAACTCAAACATCTCCACAGAGGTGTAATTTGGTCCATTGGATGAGGCATCCAGGCAACATAGGTCCTTTCCGCACTAGACCATAAATCCTGGTTCAACCCTGTCCCCAAACTTACATTCTACACTACACGCAAGTTCACCCCTGTAATTATCTCGAGGTATTTTTTGTTTCCACATTACATTGAGGTCACCCTGGTTTTGCCCAACACTTGTCCCAGGATAAGTGGATGCTGTTATAACCAGAGATAAATGCAAGGTATTGTGTCGCGAGTTGAACTCTGATAAAACTAGGGATAAGATCCAAGTGTGGAAAGGATCATATGAGCAAACAGCAGCTTCACGCCATGTTTGAGGCTGTAAAAATAGATTGAGGAGAAGATGACCACAGATCATCCAGCGTCTCACCTGTAAACCAGACATACAGTGCAGAGTCACCATTAGGGGGCTTAGAAGACTGTAAACTCTGCTTAGGACTGCACTGAGCCCGCTCACGGGGAGGGCAGGGTATAAATTAAATAAATAAATGCTCAGACATTAGAATCAATAGACCTAGCAGTACAGGAAGTAGCAGCAAATGAATATCAAGGGATGAATGAAATATATGGGGACACGATGGGAGTAAGGAGGAAAAAGTCTTATTGAAGATCAAGTGTTATTCTCTACCTCATAGCAGGCTTACTTACCGTGATTCAGCAGGGGACACAGACTTCTTTGTAGGATCATTCCCGTGGGGACAACAGACGCGCCGCACCATGCCATCGCCAGGAAGTGATGCCGGGCAATGCTCTGGCAATGGGGCTGGAAACTCGATGGTACCATCAAGTTTTCAGCCACATTGCCAGAGTGTCACCCGGCATCACTTCCTGGCGACGTCATGGTGCGTTACAAGGAGGAATGTTCCGGCCAGGGAGCATGTGCCCCCCGCCAGATCGTGGTAAGTACTTGAGAACCCTACCTCATAGTCAGCTCTCATTTTAAACCCTCCTTGGGTTTTCCTGCTGTTTAAATGGCCTCTTTCTCATATGTATGCTGACTGAATGTGTAGAAGACTTGTAAAAATGGTTTTAAATGAGGAGGAAATTCTTATCAAGTCTGGAATTATATGAACTGTGCACAGGGAGAGAGGGAGGCTAGGGAATGAAAAGTACACATTCGATAAGTTCTTTAAACCTGCATGAGTGATATAACTATATAATAAAAATCATATCAAATATAAATGATCTCCCCCCCCACACACACATACACTGTGTTGCCTTGCTAACTTACCAACAGTGGGTTGACCGTCTGTCAGCAAAATCATCATTGAAATGCTTTGCTCTGGCAGTAACTCAGCAGTGGTGGCCTCATCCAGTGCATGTATTGCGGCCAGGAGAGCACCATTGATATCTGTTGCTGTAACAGTAAGGAAGACCTGATGACAAATTTGATATCACAGACAACAGGACTGGTTTCATTCCTCTGGAATCTTTTAAGTGAGGAGACTTCAAATACATGGGAAAAAGTCGACAGAAGGGGACAAATACATTCTAGCCATATGTAGAAGCAAAACAAAAAGAATGTAAACCAGTGTAACAGGCCAGATTAACCCCCCAGCCAGAGTAGCCCCGGGGTTACTCTGGCCTAACCCGGAGGGGTTATTCTGGCCTAGGTTAGAGTAACCCCGGGTTAATCTGGCCGGCTGTAACAGGCCAGATTCACCCCCCAGCCAGAGTAACCCAGGGGTTACTCTGGCCTAGGCTAGAATACCCCCCCCCATTCACCCCCCGGCCAGAGAAACCCCGGGGTTACTCTGGCCTAGGCTAGAATACCCCCCCCCATTCACCCCCCGGCCAGAGAAACCCCGGGGTTACTCTGGCCTAGGCTAGAATACCCCCCCCCATTCACCCCCCGGCCAGAGAAACCCCGGGGTTACTCTGGCCTAGGCTAGAATAACCCCCCCA